AAGTACATCCATACAACCAAAACTATCAACTACAAAATTAGAAAATGGTTTAGTGGCTACAAGTATAGAAAATATTTAAAAACAAAAATTCATTCCTGAACTTCATTCAATTTTAAAATTCAAAATACCGGATTAAGATGGAAATTTTTCTTTCTTCTTTCAATCAAACGTTAGGCTACTGTATTGTCTTACATTAGTAATAATCTAGCTTTTTTGGCTGATGATCCGTTCTTTTTATAAATCTATTATATCAACGTCCCTTGGAAGGGACCGGCGGGTGTAAAGGGTTAAGAGGGTCTCCCTATTCAGAAAGCTATTTTTCACAAATTACATTAAAGAATAAAAGACTCAACCGATTCATTTCTATATCCATGTAAAATGTGATTTATTTTGTATAAGCTTACCTTTCAAACAGTGTTTAGATGAAAAGCAATAACGATATAGAACAAAGCTATGAACAATAAGCGATATGGAACAAAGTTTGGGCTTCTGAAACCAGGTTTTGGGAAAAAATTGAAAAAAGTTATATTAGGTTAACCTAGGTTAGGTTAGGTTTAGGTTGTGAACATTTTTATAGGTTAGGTTATAGATTGTCAAAAGTCGTAACCTGTAGGACTCTAGCGGACGATCCAGTGGGCGCTTAATTGAGCGATTAGTACCGAATTCAAACGCATTAACTGGCTTCAGCTCACTTAAGCTGGCTTTGACGAGCTAAAAACTGGGTCAGATAGCTGGAAACGCCCACTTCACGAACTTTTTCTACTTGGGTGAGTGAATAACTATTTTGATGTTGATATGTTGAGATCTTTTCCCTTTTGATGATAAAAGATATATGAAATGTTCGATCTTACAGTGCTCTCTTACAGAAAAGGTCATAATACTTTTCAATACACAATGTTTAAATCAATATATTTAAACAAGATATGGCTGGATTAAGCTCGATTTAGTATTTTCTGATCTTATTCAACTCAGAAAAGGAGGATCCTAACAGAACCTTAGAAAATCCGATCACTCTTGTTTGTACCTTATTCCATTAGGATTGTGTAGGATCTTTCAGGATCCTAAGAAATTAAAGCGAAATTCTAGTAGGATACTGGTTAGATATGTCTCGGATCCTGCGAGGAAACTCACAGGACGTTTAGTAGGGTAACGTAAAAATACGCACACTAAAAAATAATGTGTCGCATATGTCGCAAATTGTGACGTATACTGTGCGGAAAAAAGTATCATGTAGCTTTAAGTGAAAACGAAGTAATTTAACAATTTAATGGAGTTGTTGTAATTTTCTAGTCATTTTTCATCTTTTTCATAAAATACTCTGAAGTGGTGATCTGTTGACAATAAGAACATCAACTTGTTTTGCTCGATTCTATAGTATTATTTGATGTTTGTATGACCTTACGTACTTCATGACGTACATACATTTACTTTTTTTCAGTGTTTCTTTTATACCTTTTCTTTATCGTGAGACAAAAATAGCTTACACATCATCAGTAAAAAATGTTTATTATCACACAAACGCTTTTCAGCATGCTTGTGAATACTCGTTAAAAGATCATCTATAATTTAAATCGAAATGGCAAAAATGAACGTATCTCAACTAGCAGAAAAAATGTCTCAGTTAGAAGAAACAATCAACTATAAATTCAAAAATCCTGCTTTACTACGACAAGCACTCACTCGACAAAATGCCATCATTGAACAACATATCGATGCAAGTACTCAAAATTACCAGGCATTAGAATTTATTGGGGATGCGGCGCTAAAATTTATAATTGCTCGTTGTCTATATAAAAAATTCGGTGAAAATTGTACAGAAGATACGTTACATAAAGAAACAACAAAATTAATAACAAATAAAGACGTTTTACCACAGATAGCTCGTCATATTCGTTTTAATGAGCTTATTGTTAAAGGTAAAGGTGAAATTTCTATGACAGACAAAATGCTTTCTGATGCACTTGAAGCTGTATTGGGTGCAATTTCAATTGATACAGATAATCTGGAAGTATTGTTTATTGTAGTTGAGAATCTCTGGAAGTCTTATTTAACTAAGCCAACTGAAATACAAACAACTTTGCCGATAAAAAAGATGCCTTTGAAACCCCTCGACGCTTCCTCCATTACTCTAGAATATCGACGAATGTTTTCTAGTACTAATCCTAAGGTCCCTGCAAAAATATTTTGTAGAGTATTAGATCGTGTACTTGATGTAAACCAACGTAATAGCGGAAAGAGGGGTGATACTGCATTAATGATGTTATTGCGTCACAAGGAATTAAAAGAGGATACAGAGTTGCCTAAGATAAAAGCGCTCATAGATCGTGACGCACTCTGGACAGCTTCGAATAATTTGGGATTAACAGCAGAGGACTTAGCAAAATCTTTGGAGGGACGTATAGAGATTCTAAGTAAAATCAAATCGATGAGTGATCAACCATCTCTATCTGAAACTGTATCAACAAAAATAAAAAAGAACATACTTCACACTGCAACGCACTCGTCACTTCCCGCACAGTATCAGCGAGTATTTACTACTATTAATTCTAAATCTTCAGTTGAGCAGTTACGTAAAACAGTAACTCAAGTCAAAGATATAAATAGACAAAATGTTGGAAAAAAAGGGGACACAGCACTAATGATGTTATTGCGTCAGAAAACATCGATAGATTCGATAAAATTGCTCAAAATAAAAGCATTGTTAGAAGCCGGTGCACTTTGGACAGCTTCAAATAAACTTGGAGAAACAGCGAAAGATTTAGCTGAAAGGCATAGTGATTATAAAGAAGTGAGAGATTTCGTCACCTGAAAAAAACAGAAATATACATAGTACAAGAGTTAACGAGAAAAAAAAGTAAAAAATTAGAACAACATTCTCTAAAAACATAACATACGTTTACGTTTATACATCACGATTACACTCTAAAAGAACGTCTCGATATAAAATTTATAGGTTAGTTGACCATTCTTTCCGTAAATGAATCTTAAAATAAGACATATGTGCATCAAACTGATAGTTTTATCCGTAAAATAATAGAGGCAAATGATTTTTTCGGACTTTTAACAGTGGAAATAAGCCCTTTGATCTCTTTGTGGTTTTAGAGATAAGACTGATAGTTTCGTGTTTCCACAGGTAAGATAGCGGAGCAAGATGAATAGAATAAGACCGAGTTTCTTTTTTATAGTACATTCAATGCCTAACCTAAGGGATATTTTTGATATTAATAATCAAAACAATGGAGAAAGATGATAATGTGCAAATGACGCTGTTGTGCATTACCAAACTAATGCAAGCGTTAAGCATAGAGAGAGCAAAATTACTGTTTTAAATTACAATGCCCTTTGAACAGAAACATATGAAGATGTAGAAAAGAAAACTTTTTAGGTAAATACCGATATGATTTAAATATAAATAGACACGTAAATGTTTCACACTAAACTGTAACACGATTTATCGTATCTGTTCGACATTTTTGAAAGCCACCCTTTTTTTTATATTTACCTCATATTATTTTCTTTTCTGATTTTAAGTTGTAGTAGGTTTTTTCTTTTTTTTTCTATGTATTCTGTACTATACTGTAACCACATGTAGAAAAAATGTGTACGAAAAATAAATAAATAAGATTTATTGAAATTGGGCGTTGTATGACGTTGTTTCTACCAAATAAAATCATACAATTATTAATCGTGTAAATACAATCCTAAGGATAATATTTCCAATCCCATTCATTGAGTTATAGTATTTATATTCATCAACAAATCAATTAAAAGCGAAATTTTCATTGTCATCAAAATCTTAGAATTTATTTTCATGTTGCTATGCTCATGCTCGCATTTAGGTAAATTTAGAAAATTTTATACGTTTTTTTCTTCTAAATTATTTAGTGTTTTGGATTCATGTCTTTGTAATGGGTTTGGCTAATAGTTCAATATCACGTAAAGAATCTGTAAGAGGTTCATCGTCATTTGTTGAAAAATTAACTCATGAACGTATAAAACAACTTGAAAAATCGATTGACTACACGGAAAAAGAGATTCGTGAGCAGTATAAAGAGTTTTGCAAAGAATATCCAGAAGGTCGAATAACCAAACAAAAATTGTATGAACTTTACAAAATCCTTTATCCTCACATATCTCGTCCAACATTGTTCGATAATGCATTTGCCATCATAGATTCCGATCATTCGGGTTCGATTGAGTTTTCAGAATATCTGATATTTAAAGCGGCACAAGAAAGAGAAAGTCAAGATCCCGAAGCAATTTTAAAACTGGCGTTTGACTCTTTGGATCAAAATAATGATCAATATATAACTATTCAAGAATTAAAACGGTTTACCAAATATGTTTTGAGTAGGTTTAAACGAAATATCAAAATATATTATGCCAATAAATTGTTTTCTGTCCAAAGTGTAAAACAGTGATTTTTTGGCTATTATCACTTCAATTTTTCTAGGCCTGAGCAATATCAGAAATGATCGGTTACAACCTAATGACCTTGCCAAAATGATGATGAAAGAGATGGACGATAATAATGATAAACGGATATCAAAGAAAGAGTTTTTAGCTGCATGCAGAAAGCAGTCATTAATTCAAAATATTGTTAATCATGATTGGAATGGTGAACGAGATCGAGATTTACCTGGGTATCCGAAATTACAAACCAAATAAGAAATGTTGCATCAAACATTTTATCACCTTTAAGCTTTAAGGATTCAATTCAATTAGTAATTGTTAACCTTTGCTGGCTCATCTTATTGGAAAACTATGAGAATGAAACTGCTGATACTCGCTCGATTTCATTGCTAGATGTTTTTCTGAAGATTCTAGAACGCTCGTTTTTCGTGAGATTTTAAACAATTTTGGAGAATCGTGGAGTTCTACATAATACATAATTCTCCATCAAGTTTCAGATCGAGTTTTCGACTTCAAATTAGGGTATTATCCATGCGATATGTTATGGTCAGCGGGCATTGATAGACACAAAATTAACTGATACACAGGATATTAGATTACATCAACCTAATGTAATCTTGATGTTATCAAGATTAGGTTGAGACTGTACTAAGACTAAAGCTAAAATAAGGAAACAGATGCCCATAATTAGTTCTTAGAGTGTTTTTGGATCAACGAGCAACTATTTTAGGCGTGTTTTATTCACTACGTTCGTTCTTCCCATTTTTACTTTGCGTTTTGCTACTTTTCCTTATTTACGCTTTGTCAACAACAAGACCTGATGCGTTATCATTTTACTTGTCTTGAAAGGATCCGTCCCGCAGCAAAAATTAAATACATTATAATAATAGTTAAAAAAAAAAAAAAAAAATAATAATAAAAAGAGATA